AAGATAGTCAGAAATAGTGAAATCTCTGATCCGTACACTTTCTGATCCCTTCCTACACCATCCTGTCCCATCTGTTTTCTCTTGTCCTGGCTCTCCATTCTATAATTCATCTCTCTCGGTCCTCAGATAACCTCAGGTTTTATTAATCCTAGGGCATGACTTCCCACTCTCTACAAAATTCTTCTTTTCTCCTCCCTTTGTGTTCTCACCCTTCAAATATTTTGCATCTAATACTTTCTCCCTGAATCCCTAGACCTGGTTAAATCCTCTTATTAAATGCAACCATAGTACTTACACATTCAGCATGCTCATTCCACTTGTTACCGATTTGCTTAAAGTGTTTTTTTCTCTGCTAGAATGTACATTCAACTTATTCATTACCATTTCCTTAGTGATCCACATATTGCCTAACCCTTACTTAGTAGGCATTTAATAATCATTTGTTGAATTTTCTGTTGTGGAAATGTATGTTCTGGAATATACATCATACATGAAACTAAATATTTATATATATATAGTCCCAGTTATATATATATAGTCCTAATTATATAGTTTGGTTATATAGTATATACACACTGAGTGGCCAGATTATTATGATCATCTGACGTTTGTAGGCAAATTAGCTATAATTTCGCGCTGAAGTTGCTAGAGGGCCAGAGCATTATAAATAGGGAAACAGGTTGTTTACCACGACAGTAGAAGTGATTTTTTTCTGAAGATATGGGTAAACAATGCAATTTAATAGCCTTTGAACATGGGATATACACACACACACACACACACACACACACACTGAGTGGCCAGATTATTATCACCACCCCATCAGTACTTTGTTGGGCCACTTTTTGCCTTCAATACTGTGGCGATTCTTCTTGGCATTGACTCCATGAGATGTTGAAAGGTGATGCGAGGAATCTGACACCATGCCTGATGAATAGCACTGTCCAGTTCTGTGAGATTTGATGGTTGTGGAACCAGCTGCCTGATGGCTCTTTTAACTTCGTCCCACAAATGCTCAATTGGATTGGAATCTGGTGATTGTGGGGGCCACCTAAGCAAGGTAAAGTCTCCCTCATGTTCTTGAAACCACTCCTGCACAATACGAGCACTGTGGCATGGCGCATTGTCTTGTTGGAAGAAGCCATCTCCATTGGGATACGTCATCAACATGATCAAGGATGAACTTGATCAGCAACAATACTTAGGTATGTTGTGCTATTCAGATGTTGTTCCCATGAATTAAAGGGCAGGAAAACATGCCCAAAACCATAACACTGCCCCCACCAGCTTGAAGGGTTGTACTCATGTATGTGGGGTGCATGCTTTCATGCTGTTTCCGCCAAATTCTCACTCTGCCATATGCATGATGCAACTGGAAACGGACCACATGACTTTTTTCTAATGCTCGGCTGTCCAATCCTTGTGTTCCTGTGCGAATTGGAGACGTTTTATCTTGGTAACTGCAGACAGCAAAGGTGTTCGAACAGGCCTTTCGCTTCCATATCCCATACGATGCAGTGTACGGCTAATTTGCCTACAAATGTCAGGTGGTCATAAAAATCTGGCCACTCAGTATATATAGTCTCCTCACATTCCTCACGGATGAGTGGTAAGATGGGAATGGATGAGCTGGGTAAAACACAGGGTATGCCATAGGTAAATGCCACATGATTTAGGACAAAATAGTTAATACAATAATTTAAGAAGTGTTTATCAAGTTCTTTTTATATGTCTATTGCTGATGTTAGCACTAGAACATCAATGATTTTTGTCCTTTATCTCTAGTGATATTTCAGTACCGGCCAAACAGATTTTCAGTGTGATAGCAGAAAGTATTATAGGCACTAAATCTAGGTTAACTTTTGGGCTTCTGCAGATAGGCCAGGCAAAAACTCCAGAGGCAACAAAAAACCTGCCCATATGCTTCTCAGCCTCATTCAAGGTTTATCATCTGGCAAAAATCTTCCAAGAAATTATCCTCTGGCATTTTTCCTTTGCCGAGAAAAAAATCTCAAGTAAAATATGAAGCAGTAGAATGGGAACAAATGGAATTCCTCCCAAACTATAATCACCTTGTGTGATGACAATATCAAAAGAATTTGGGAAAGCAAGGATTTAATGGAGCTGAACTCAACTTGTATATTTTCTTATTGTATCCGGTACAAGGAAAATATGTAGTGAAAGGAAAATTACTATAACCTTTGTGGTAGGCTATGTCCTCATTCCCAGACCCTGTGACTGTGACCTTACATGGATAAAGGGACTTTGCTTATTGATTATGTCAAGGATTTGAGATGAGGACTTTATCCAGGATTATCAGATTGGGGACAATGGTCCTTATAAGGAGGAAGGAGGTCAGGGAGAAAAGAGGTGATCCGGTGAAGCAGAGGATGAAGTGATGATACACTTTGAAGCTAGAAGAAGGGGCCACAAGCCAAGGAATACAGGTGTCCACTAGAAGGTGAAAAAAGCGAGGAAACAGATTCTCATCTCAGAACCCCCAAAAGAAACCAGCCCAGTTCAAACCTTAGTTTTTTATTTCAATGAAACTGATTTTGAACTTCTGATCTCCAGGTCTGTAAGGTAAAGAACTTCATGTTGTTTTAAGCCACAAATTTTGTGGTAATTTCTTATAGAAGCAATAGAAAGCAAATATAAGCCCTCTCTTCTCAATTTAATTGATGTGTCTTTTCAAAGTTAGAAATTATAAACATATGCAGTAATGACCCTGGGTTGAGATTTATTGGACTAATATTTAAAGGGTTGAAAAAATATTTTTTGAAATAAAGGAATGCCTTCCATTTTTCCATGATTTTAAAATGATAATTTGAGGGTATACTATTTTTACAGCTCACTAGATTTAATTTTAAAATCACTTCTGAATTGGCCACTATCATTTTGAATTAGAATATTTTAAATTATTGATATAAATACTTCATTCAGTACTTTCTGGTTGGTAACAGGAACACAGAGTTAATGAACAATTGTTAATGCCATGATAATTTTCTTTTGCTTTTAGTGTTGTGTTATATTAAACTACCTATACCAATCAATAACAATCAATATCCGTTAAGATGAGAAAAAGGACACTGAATATTCCAGGGCATATATAGTCATTGATATCCTTTTAAAATTATTTAAAATCCTATCAAACATCCTGAAATATTCAGTTCCCTATAAAGAATCCCAAGATGTTAATTACAAAAGTCCTGGAACTTTCTCCCTTTTTTTTTAAACATTAAGAATTTGTTGAAGATTTTTTACACTTGAACATATTGTTTAAAAATATAATCTTTCTTCCTATGTGACAGCCTCACACAAACAAAGTATTTAAAGAAGATGAAGCTCTGTCATTGCTGTTTAATTAACAGACTTTTGGAATTAGAGGTTGTTAAAAAATAACTCAAAAAAGAAAACTTTAGTGTGATGATGACAATCATCTCATTCCACATCAGAATTTTAACTAGTAAAAATCCCATCCCCAGGTGTCATCTGCTAGAACTAGTGGATCTTATTTTGGATTGTCAGTTTTTCTTTCCACAATGACATATACAAATCAGATGGTGGAGTACGAAGCACGCTGAGAGGTCAGATTTGCTTTGAATTTAGTACATGATGTAACAATTTCCTTTCTATCATCTGACTTTGAGTGCTCTCAGTTCCTTTGTTCTAAGTCTAAATTGTTTAAAATCACCTTGCCTTCTAGTGCATAAAGGCAGCATATATCATTTCGTTATTCTACATTTTAAAAGATTAATTCCTGTAGTTTCTATCAAATTGAAATCTACCTAAATGTACATTTTAATAACTTTTACAACTTATTTTGGATTATCCACTGACACAACCTTGCAAATCTAGTTCATCTAAGATACAAATAACTACAGTAATTTGGTGACAATGTTAAGGATACTTTTTTTTTAATTCCTACTTTCAGGTGTTCGTTTTTTTTCTATAGTATGATGGTAACTTTGTGAAAGTTTAGCAATTCTAACATACTATATGTCTGTCCTAAGCTATATTCAAATTAATAAAATATCCTCCACTGAATACTTCCTATGGGAAATATAGGCCTAATGCTTGTAAATTAAGATCCTCCCCATCCCCAATTTTGACTAAAAAAAAGAAAAAAAAATTAATGATTAATGATTTAAATTTCTGCAGGGTACAAAGCACCTCGATCAATAAAACTGGTGGGATATATATCTTGTAACAATTTCTGTACATTTTTATATATGCCTTTGAACACTTGTTAAGACTGTAATGTCCAATTGAAATACACAAATCTATTTCTCAATAGTTTACTCATCTTTTGAGAGATTTCATCAAATATAAACTTTATTATCAGATGCTCTTTGACAAATTCTAGTTATAGGAAATTAATTGAGAAATTACTCTATTATGGCTAATTATCAAATTATGGATTATGAATTCAATGTATTTTTGTAACTAAATAGCAGCTTACAAAGCTAATATTGCCATGCCCTACAAATAAACCAAGTTATTAAAAATATGAAATACATAAGTACGAAAGCCTCCAATGTGACAATATTCACTGACATGCTGTCAGAGCTGGAACAGACTTTAAATATCTCCAGTGCATCTCCAGCTTCTGGTTGAGAAGCTGATCTGCTCAATGTTAGCAAGCTAGCTGTGTGTTCTAGGCCCTCCATCACTAGATTCTTCACACACATAGTCACACACACTTTCTCTCTTAATATAGTTCTTGCAAAGCAAGCTGAATGAGCACATTTTAATATAAATGTGCATGTTATATTGTATACTTCCTTATCAGCATTTTCTTTTGTCAGAAGAGCACAAAAATAAAAACTGCACTGGGCTTTGTTAGTCTACATTCTTTATGAGAAATAATTTTTTTCTTTATCAAACCGACAGAATTAGATCCTTGTAAGTGTAGAGATATATTACAATTAAAGTATTCTCAGACACATGCCATAAACATTCACTAAGAGAAATATGAATCTAACTCCGAGGCTAGAATACATGGTTACGCTCACTTTATTACCAGCAAATAGACAACATTCTCCAATCTCACCTGCAAGTTTCTTTCCTTAAACATGCAGCAGATGTACCGAGTTGTTCTATGGTTCTAGATTATACATTTCCATTCACATCACAATAAAGAATGTATGCATTTCTCTCCTGTGCACTTAACACCCACCAACAATTACCAGTAGCAATAAAACACTAATAAATTTCCTAACAATGTGAGGCTGTACAAAATCTAGCAGAAGTTAACCCAAGGCTTGGTGATGAAAAAATACTTGCTTTACAATACTTATAAATGTGATCTAGTTATAGTTTGTCTTTTTTAAAATTAAATAATATATGTAAGCTGATCAATCAACAATATTTTAGATACCTTGTTGGCCATAATATTGTGTTTTAATTTTTAAAATAAACCAATACATTGCCTCTGAGCAGTAAACAATGGCCATTGATATTTAGATAAAGTTATTAAGTTCACAGAGACACCAGATCTTATACCCAGTATAGATTTATTTGAAAAACAAATATTGAATAATTTATTATTTAAAGTGGTTAGAATAAAGTTCAAGGGAAATATAAGCAAATCATTTCTTCTCTAACAATCTGAAATACAGGAGGTTTAAACCTTATATATTTTTGTCAAAGTAGTAATTATCCATAGTGACAGATGCTGCTTCCAGCTGATGGAGGGTCTCACATGTTACTCTGCATCTCATTGGGAAGGAAATATAAAATGTTAAAATAGAAGTAACTTGGGGAAAGGCATCAGTGATGCAACTCTTAGCACCAAATGTTTTTTCTTGGAGCACCAAATGCTTTAAGGAAAACATTCCAAGTATCAAAGTTTTCAGATAGATAAATATTTATGGATCAAATCCATAAAGAACAGACATTGTTATGAAATATATATAGATGCCTTCAAAACTTTCTTTCCAGGCAGAGTAGACACATAAGTTAGGAGTCATTTCCCACTTAATTGTTTTTGAAACCTTATGCAACACAAATGGATTATGGCTAAAGGCTTACTCATTTATTCACAGAAATCTTGACTGAACTTAAGTCCAAAAAATTAAACAGGAACTTTTTCTCTACATAAAATATAAAATGTTATTAAACTTATGGAAATGACTTTCTATGACCCCTTTATTTTCCTGGTTGAAAGGTCTAGAGCAGTGGTTTTCAACCTTGGCTGCACATTAGAATCACCTGGATGAGGCCCAGAAATCAGGATTTTAAAAAGATTCCCAGGTGATTCTAATGTGCAGCCAAGGTTGAGAACCACTGGTCTAGAGGTTTTCAATGTAGTGAGAAAACAGTACTCATTAAAGAAAAGTCCTCTCATTTGCTACTTAGCCTGATCAGAGAAAGTAGTAACATAAAGCTGACTCATATCTTTCAGTGCAATGAAATTCATCTGTCTTTAAACATTATGAACGGTACTTTTTTAGAGTACATGTAGACCAATGCCTCTCTGTCATCACGGAGAATTCTTCATAGTGGTATTAGAACTGCAAATTCATATGCACAGCAATCCACCGAAAGCTACTTTGCCATTTAAAGGCAGAGGTCTACTTACAGTGCTCATGTAGCAACATACAAGTGTCATACAAATGCCATACAATACTAGATAAATTCAAAGTCACTATCAAAGCAAAAGCTTTAGCTTCTAGGCATCCTTGATACTCATAAATGCCATTTAGGAATGTGCACTGATCAGAAACGAAGTGCCAATTTAAAGAAAATAGGGATAGGCCCTGTCCCAGATGCAAATGTAGAAGAAAGGTCTACAAGAACTCAATGGGCTTCCAAGTCACACTTGCACACATGGATAATTACTGCCAATAGTATCACTTGTGAACACAGGGGACATTTGGGGGCGCAATATAATTCTGTCCCCAAAACTAACCAGGACAATGATATATTCAACCAAACAAGGCTTGAGTTTATGTAGGCTTAAAGAAAATGGTAGCAGAGGCGCAGGTAAAATTTTATTTATGAATATGTAGACACATGACGTTGGATCCAGCCAGCCAGTGACATAAATAAACTTGAGCAAAAGATTCAAGCTAGAAGATATACATGTACATATATAGTTGCGTGTGTGAGTCAGGCTTCTTGGAGCAGCTCCACAAATCTGGACACCAACCCACAGAATCACTCCCGTCCTTTGAAATTTCCATGAAGAGCACAATGGGGGTAATTAAACTGGGTTGCTCCAAATCGCTCTTTCCATCTTGTGCACTCACATGCCCGCCAAACATGAAATGTTCGCCTTCTCCCTTCCAACGTGATGGTTGTTGAACTTATTTTTAGTGTCATTTGATAAGCCTTTGTGCTCACAGAGAGACATCCCACTGACCCAGCCACTGGTCATTGTCTATACCAGTTCACATCAAAGCTGGCGCACTTTGTCAGGTTTCGCGTCGAATATCCATTTCGCATCTGAAATTCAGTATCGAAAGTGACTAGATCATTTGAGCTTTTCTCTTCAGCTGCTGCCTTCTTCCTCCCCCACCGTGTTTCCGCTCACGCTAACATAATTTGGCATCGTCGACATGACACGATGGTGGTTTTTCTAAAAAATTCTAATATATACATTTTCGATGTTTTGTGGTGGCTGATCCTCCTGAACATTTAATTTTCAAATTGATGAGTGGAGGTCTTTTCTTCTCTACTGAATCACATCCAAGATAAAGTGCCCCCTCGAAATCCAAGTAATGCGCATACAGTAATAGGTCATTCAATGTCAAAAGGCATAAAAAAGATGAGCAAAATCTTCACAGGCTGCTGCTTGCTGTTGCCTTTAATTATATTAATTAAACTTTGAAATTTTCATGCAAAGAGAGTTGCTGGCTTGTGACGCTGAGGAGCCCTTGGAGACTTGAAGAAAGAAAAAACCCTGAGCGGAAGCTTTGTGGTTACTGCTTCCATTAAATTAAAAGCAAACAAAACTGCTTGGTATGTTTACAGATATTGATGCTTTATGCACTACTAAACCCTAAACAGAGAAAGAGGGGTAAGTCGACCAATCACAGGGACAAGTTCTCAAATCATGAGTCCCTCACACTCCACTCAAGACCTCTGGGTAGAGGCTGTCTTCCTGTGTAATAATGCTCTATTAATTGTCTTCTTTCCCAAGTGCATAATGAAAGAAAGGTGTCTTGAAAAACTAAAGGGCAAAATCTTGCTTGCTACCAATACCTGGGGGCATACTGTCTACATTTTGTCATGCGTGTGCACTTTTCAGTGATAGAATGACAAGATTTTCCAGGCAGAAGCTTCCCATAGGCACATTGCGGTAGGGAACGTGGAAGGATTATTTTGTGATCTGACAGAGCTATAAGGCAATAGACTCCTTTATTTGCTGAGTCTGGCGGGAAATCTCATACTCTGCCTGTGGATACACAATCTTGCCATGTGGAAACACGGGAGCCATGTTACCATGTTCAACACTCCTTTCTTCATTAAAGATCCATCATGGCCAGTTGTTTTGTGGTCTCCGTTTTGATATCATCTTCATGCTGTTGTTTTTATTGTTTTCCTTTTCTACACATTCATGCAAACTTTTTTGTATAAGTCATGGCATGTAGGTTAATGGTCCTCTTTATTTTCAGTGCCATGAATCATGAGTTACTACTGCTTTTCATCAACTCCCAGGTAGATGGCAGAACAAGTGTTTGAAAATGTCTGGTGCAAGCAAAGCAGAAGGCAGAGAAAACATTTCCCGACTGAGAGGAATAAAGCTGCTCTTCCAAAAACTTCTAAGATGCACTTAAGGTTTTCCATTGGGTTGGAAATCAACAGTGTGAAGATGTACCATCTTCATACCTTCTTGGTCTTTCTTTCTTTTTACTGAGACGAAACTCGGGAGAAGTTTATGCACCGGCCCTACAAGAGAAACAAATCCTTATTGAAATATTAAAGCAATTATTAAAAAAGCATAAGAATGCCTATTTTCCTACCATAATATAATAAACAATCACCTAAGGTAAGGTCAATGTTAAAGCAACCTTGTATGTTGCTTTCTATAATGAATTCAGATGAAAGTATTCCTTTATGCAAAATGGTGCTTCTAAAACTGATATAAAATTGGTGGTTCTAAAATGTACACATGAGGAGTGCATTTAAGTAGTAAGAGATTGAAGATAAGGAGTCTGGGAGAAAGGGAGGAGATGCCATCTCTTTGTGATTCTCTTTTATTTTTTTCCTTCTCTTTTATAAAAGGCTTTTGCAAGATACTTATTAGTGATCTTGTCTACTGTTGTTGGCCAGTGCCCACCACGCACACCACCATTACGTGTGCTCTCCAAACGGTGACTGTTTATTTGCATTGCACATTTCCAAAGAGACTTTGCCATTCCGATTCCTTAGCAATTCAATAATAGCTATTGAGACACATAGTTTCATATGTAATTGTAAATAATCTAAAATTCATTTGAAAACCAAGTTTCCAATTAGTGATAAAGGGTCCCCACCACCTTCCCTTTGCTTGGTATGACACTGCTGATTCACTGTACTACCTAAATCATGTCCAGATTCCTCAAAAACCCCAAAACTGGCATACTGCTTTCTACTTTAGGGTCAACATTATCACCCTGTTGAGATTTTCCTATTTTTCATAATACCTGCTTTCTAATTTCAGATATTAGAACGTCTCTTTTTCCCCCTCTAAAATTTGAACAATACATTCATTTACGATATTCAAAAGAAACAAGTGTTGGAGAATAAAACTTGGAACATAAGACCAGGATTTTAGTCCATTTTCCTTTCAAAAAATGACTACCCAATAAATTTGGGAATTTCAGAAATGAATGAAATAGCCCAAAGCATAAAAGCAAACTTGTTTCCATTAGCTTTTTGACTAAAAGGAAAAAAGTAATCAAATTACATATTTCTAAATGTTGTTGGAAGCAACCTGTTCTGTAATTGTCAATTTTATTACTACTTTCTACAAATAATATGTGTGCAAAAGAAAGTGGGAGAAAAGCATAGGGATAAGCACTTTAGAATGAGGTCAAAATGTGTTAGTAAATCCAATGGTCATAGACCATGCACTCAGACTGTATTTTTGTGTTATCTAGAATCTTCAAACAAGATCTTAAAACAAGTATTAAGTGAATTATATACTCGTCGGCAGATTCAAACAAACGTATGAGAAATGATATAATGGCAATGATGTGAATTAATGACTTTTTTCTTGTGTATTTATGAACCTAACAAGTTATTTTCTCTCTTCTGCATTATTTGGAAAAGAAGATATCATGAATCTCCACTTTTACTTGAGTTTCATCTAAGCTTACAGTTTTTCTGACTACTTCTGTTCTCATCCCAGATGAATCTTGGTGACCCTGATTCATTTACCTTAAAAAATTGGATAGATTAAAAAGTGAGATTGACAGTTCGCCTGAATTTTCAAATTAACTGCAACACCTAAATCATTCCAGACCTAAATTTTGTGGTTTAATTAAAGACATAGAAGTGCGAGTGAAGAAAACCCTATTGATTTTGACCCCGAGGTCCTTACTTCAATTCTTCCAAAGTTTGGGATTAAGTATTGATTAATAGCTGGCAAATGTCTATTGATTCAAGTACCTCAAAACCCCTCCTAAATGCTGTATACACCTTTGTGTTTTATACACCTATTAACAAAAACAACCAAATGTCTTCTCCCCTCCTAACCATGGACTTAGTGGTTTCGCTTTTATCAAGAGCTGATAATGCTGGGTGTACTTTCATTTTACACAAACTGAAAAGTTGGATACTTGGAGGAGTTCTGTTAAGCACTGCCTAGTTCTCCCAGTCATGGGACTCATTTCCCCAAAGGTCCCATTGCATGTCCTCTGCAGCCAAAGTTTATCATACCACTCTGACACTCACTAACTGTGTGACCATGGGCAACAGTTAGCTACTGTGTGCTTGTTTCTTCATAAGTAAAATGATGATTAAAAATTGGACAGAGCCCTAGCTGGTTTGGCTCTGTGGATAGAGTGTCAGCCTGTGGACTAAAGGGTCCCAGGTTCGATTTTGGCCAAGGGCACATGCCTGGGTTGCAGGCTCGATCCCCCGCAAGTAGGGGGCGTGCAGGAGGCAGTCAATGATTCTGTCTCATCATTGATGTTTATATCTCTCTATTCCTCTTCCTTCCTCTCTGAAATCAATAAAAATATTTTAAATAATACTAATAATAAATTGGACCTATTCTTAGGACTGTTATAAGGACTAAATCTGTATATATATATATATATATATATATATATATATATATATATATATAGTCACTTAGAGCAGTGCCTGGCATATAGTATACTCTCAGTAAAGAAATAGGAACTTATTATCCATCTTCCCTCTAATTGCTTCTGCAAAGTGTCTAACATGGAGCAGACTTGTAATAAATAATCACTTAGAAACAAATGCATGATGAATGTATAAAGGAATGAATACTAAATGACTAAACCTCCACTGGGGGAGAAGCCAGACCTCAAAAATGCAAATACAGAATAAGTATGAATTTGAGAGAGAAAAAGAGAATTACAAATGAGAATACAATGGTGGAAAAGGAGAGAAGAAAATATGAAGAATCAGAAGAGAGTAGCAGTAAAGAGAAAGATAGAAAAGGTATAATCAAGAAAAATAGAAACTATTGGCCAGAAAGAAAATTTTATTCATGATTCTTTCAGACACCTCACCCCCAGGGGATTATTTCAGCCTAGCAGCTAATATCAATTTCCTGGAATTTTCTTAAATCAAGGTAACATACACTGGTTGTAAGTGACTGTGATTAGGTGTCTGTGGCCCTTCAAAGACTATTCCATGCTATCTTACAAAACCCATCGTGATAATGCTAATTATGTTCAAGGTCATGAATGTTTGGGCTGCCACTGATAATATGGCAAGCAGTCTATGCAAGAACACTGCACAGCAGTTTTCATTTATAGGAAATGGGATATGACAAGGTTTAAAAGACTTCATATCTTATGCTTGTAATGCCTACATAATAAAGGTATGTTATCAGGGTAACATGCAAAACAGTATAAAATAGGTAGAACATGCAACTCATTAAAGAATAGTACAGAGTACAAAACAGTATTAGTTACTAGTGTTCATTTTTCTGAGACTATTTCACTTTAATGATTAATAGAAGAAATGCTGAAAATATTTTTAAAGTTAATTAACTTGCTTAACGGAAGTCTATTTAATATAAACTAAATATAGAGAGCTACACATACAGACATATATTTATAATCTTAATACTCTCTATGTAGAGTAATACTAGGATCAGATAGGACTATACAGTCTTTAGAATAAACCATTAAAATTATAATATGTTAATAGATGAACACAAGATTTCTGCTAGCAAGAGTTAAACAAATGTGTAATGTAAATGCTTGTTATATTTTATAAAATAATTTTAAAAATTTGAACTCAAGTGGAATAAGTATTTCCAGAATAATATAACATAATATTATACTATAAATTAAAATTATTAATATGAAAAAATAACAGTTAACTATTTTTTGGATTTTTAAATCAATATTTTTTCTAAATTTTATTGACATAAAAGATAATTAATGGACAGTACACCAACATGCTATGAGTAGTGGAATTGCATATGGTTTCTTAAATTCTATTTTATACCTTTTCTGTATGTTCATGTATTTGATGGTTTAAAAACAGTTTCCAAAGAATAAATTAAATCAGGAAAATGTAATCCTTTCTAGACATCTATATGTTTTTATTTATTTTCATTTTTATTGATTTAGAGAGGAAGATGGAGAGAGAGATAGAAACATCAATGATGAGAGAGAATCACTGATTAGCTGCCTCCTGCACACCCCACACTGAGGATCGAGCCCGCAACCTCGGCATGGGCCCTGACCGGGAATCGAACCATGACCTCCTGGTTTGTAAGTCGACGCTCAACCACTTAGCCACACCGGTTGGGCTGGACATCTATGTTTTTAAAAGTCATCTTAGGAACTTGAACACTACCAGAAATCACTACCAACTACCGATTATGTCACATTTTTTCATCACTCAATGTTCCCAGAGCTCAATGCCCAGCATCTACAGGGCATATATTTTTCTATTTAATCAACAACCACAAATATTTATACTTCATTCACTTATCAGTAATAACTTTGGAATCTTTTCTCTCCAGATCAGTTGGCAAAACTATCTTTGAGAGGGAAGTTCTAAGTGAAATCTTAGCCTGTTTCTCTAGTTCAGTGTGTTTTGTTTATACCAGTGGTTCTCAACCTTCCTAATGCCGCAACCCTTTAATACAGTTCCTCGTGTTGTGGTGACCCCCAACCATAAAATTATTTTCGTTGCTACTTCATAACTGTAATTTTGCTACTGTTATGAATCGTAATGTAAATATCTGATATGCAGGATGTATTTTCATTGTTACAAATTGAACATAATTAAAGCATAGTGATTAATCACAAAAACAATATGTAATTATATATGTGTTTTCCGATGGTCTTAGGTGACCCCTGGGAAAGGGTCATTCGATCCCCGAAGGGGTCACGACCCACAGGTTGAGAACCGCTGGTTTATGCGGCAGTCCACAAAGTCCTGTGGGCTGCACATGGTGCCTCAGGGACATACGGCTGGAGTGGCATGCAAGCAGAAAGCCAGTGGGCACACTGCAAGCCTCTCAATCTTAATTTGACCCAAGGATTTCCACTCTCACCTACCCTTTAAGATTGCAATTTGGTATAAGGTTTTGTTTTGTTTGCACTAAAAATGTAGTTGATAACTATTATTCAGGATATTCATGCCTATGGTAAGCCAGATCACCAGGAATCTGTTTGCCTAGACTTGATTTCTTTACTTCTTTTTAGAAATGCCTCCCTAGATTTATGACATTACAGCATTTTCTTCAT